ACACACCTGGAAGACGGCGTTCTTTCACCTGCGTAATATTGTCAGAGTCAGGAACATCCTGTCTCAGAGTGATCATTAAAAACTAGTCCATGCATGTGTAGCTGTTAGGCTGTAGTTCCTTGTTATCAGGATGTTCTAGTCGCTCTCTGAAAAACCTCCAGCTGATCCAAAATAGAGCCATATTTCTCGTGCAGGACTGAATTAAAAACCTTGTGAATGACCAACTCCATGTTATCCTAAAGACCTTATGTCATCCCAACAGAGCGCTTCGCTCTCAGACTGCAGGTCTACTTGTGGCTCCCAGAGTTTCCAGAAGTCAAATAGGAGACTGAACCTTCAGTCAACAGGCTCCTCGGTTGTGGAATCAGACACCATCTCTACTTTAAGATTAGGCTGAAAACGTCTTTAATAAAGCTCATGGGAATGGCTGCTCATGGTCAACTGAACCTTCCTTTAGTTATCCTGCTGTAGGTTTAGCCTGCTGGGGGATTCCCATGATGCACTGAGCTCCCTCCATACAGGTATAGATCACTGTTGCATGTCTCTAACTTTGCATCTCCTCATTAGTTTGTGTTTCATTCTCCCTGCAGGTGTCTCTGGATCTGGAGCTCTCTGATCTGCAGTCGCCGGCTCTACCGACCTCCAAAGTGTTTCATGTTCTGTTTGTTAGCGATGTTAGCGCTGTGTTGTGTTGTGCACACGCTCACATGGATCCAGCTGCTGTCTGAAGCTGCAGGTATTAAATAAACTCAAAGGAAAGACTCCTGTGAACAGCTGGAGGCGACAAACTAGACTTCAGCTCAGGTCCGTGTGTGCTTACAGTTCTGTTTGAGCTAAAACTGCAAAGCTCTAAGCTACATGCTATAAAACTTTAAAAGAAGAACCACATCATATCGTAAAATGTTGCATGTAAAATAGTGATCGGAGGGGTTTGTGATATCGAAAAAATAAGTAATAAAGGTAGCTCAAGGCTGTTCAGTGCTCCATATTATGAAGAAGAGGTAAAAAAAACAAAAAAAACATACAAAGTTCTAAACTATCTGCGTTAAAATGCTAATGAATAAAAACGAGAACTGATATCACTGCAGCGACTTACCATAAAACAGTAAAATGCGTTTTTATTGCTGCCCGGCTACCTGCTGCCATATTTTGTCTGTTACTTCAGTGATTAGAGGTTTTATGAGTAGTAAAGGGGAAATGTCTAAACACATGATAGTGCTGCTGCTGATAACCTGCTGGGAGGCTGTGGAGCAGAAAACTCTTCATTAAACACCTGATGTGACAGAAAAAAAAGAGATTTTAACATGCAGATCAGGCTTAAAAGCAATAAAATAATATCCCAAAGTTTTTGATCAGTTTTTACCAAAGAGCTTTATTGAAATGTCACATAAAAAAAAAAATCTATTCTTACAAAACCAGATCATCCACGAAGCAGCCATGACTGTACCTCCAGGCCTAATGACGTACGATGACATCACCGCTGCTCACCACATGTTCTCTCTGTCTGCTGGAAGCTGGTTTTAAACCACAACTGGATCAACCATAAAATCCCTGTGATGTGTAGCCGCTGCTCATTGTGAAAGAGGCTGACACACCTTGAACATTATCAGGAAACCGGAGTTGGCAGGAAAACCTGTCTCTCAGCTGCTTGTTTGGCTGCTTGTCAAGAGCATTCTTTGTCTGCTGTTGTGGGAAGAAATCTGGGGAGAGCTTCCTTCTTGCCTTGTTAAATTTCTGCTTGAGTAGCCCCATATTGATATGAAATGAATTAAAATAAAACAGAAATAGAAAGTCTTTGTTATCACTGTATTCTGCAGAATTCAACACAATATTCCTGACTGGTTCATTAAGAGACACAGGAAAGGTAATCCAAAAAACACAGGCTGTAAGATAATAAATCCATCCATCATGTATACACCTTAATCCTCACTAGGGTCATGGGGGGCTGGAGTCTATCCCAACTGACTCAGGGTGAAGGCAGGTTCACCTGGACAGGTAACCAGTCTATCACAGGGCTACACTTAGAGACAGACAACCAAGCACACTCACATTCACATCAACGGACAATTTAGAATCACCAATTAATCTCAGCATGTTTCTGGACTGGGCTGCAAGGTGGCGCAGTTGGTAGCACTGTTGCCTCACAGCAAGAAGGTTGCCGCTTCGCGTCCCGGTGGGGGCGCCGGAATCTTTCTGCGTGGAGTCTCCATGTTCTCCCGGTGCAGCGTGGGTTCTCTGGCTTCCTCCCACACAGTCCAAAAACATGTTGAGGTTAATTGGTGATTATAAATTGTCTGTAGGTGTGAATGTGAGTGTGCTTGGTTGTCTGTTTCTCAGTGTGGCCCTGTGATGGACTGGTGACCTGTCCAGGGTGTCCCCTGCCTTCACCCTAAGTCGGCTGGGATAGGCTCCAGCCCCCCCGTGACCCTAATGAGGATTAAGCGGTGTATAGGTAATAGATAGATGTTTTTGGACTGTGGGAGGAAGCCGGAGAACCCGGAGAGAACCCACGCTGCATGGGGAGAACATGGAGACTCCACGCAGAAAGATCCCGGGTGTCCTCACCGGGATGCCAACTGGGGATCTTGTAGGCCGTAGCTCAGGTGGGAGCAGGTAGTCCTCCGAGGTTGGTGGTTCGATCCCCCTGCCCCTCCACATTCGAAGTGTCCTTGGGTGGGACACTGAACCCAAAGTTGCTCCCAATGGCAGGCAGCAGCTTGCATGGCCGCTCTGTCGCCATTGGTTTTGGCTTTGAGTGCCGCTAAGGTAGAAAATTGCTGTATAAGTGCAGACCATTTACCATCTAGCTGCGATGGTACTAACCACAGAGCCAAGATAAATAGAAATAAATAAATAAAAAGAGCAAATGAATAATAAATGTTAATGTTTGCTTTAGCTGTTAATTTAACCCCTACATTTTATTTTGATAAAAGAATCCCTTCCTGCTTTGACAGGGCTGAGATGTAACTCTACATCATTGCTTTGTCTAGAATGTGCAGCTGCAGCTCGAGCACACCAGCTCACCTACGACGATGTAGAACTCCTCTGTGCCTCGGGTGACCAAACGTCCTGTTTTCATGTCCTGTCCTGGTTGTTTTTTTTTTTTTTTACAAAGTGATGAAAATGTCCTGGTTTAAATTTATTGAAATGATGAGGCATCTTTGAGTAAAATTTGACTATCATTTGGGTGTCCTGGTATTCAGTATATCTGTGCAGCAAGACGGCAAGTTGTCATATTGGAGCGAACGAGCCGATTCCGAAGAAGAATATTGATATAGACATGGACTGGAAACGGTCATTCATGGCACTATTTTACTCATACTTTGTCTTCCAGCTTTTATCAAAAACACCATCTGGACATGTTGACATCAGGGGTCTTTTATAATCTAACACTGGAACTAGCATAATGTTGCTTAATGCAATTATTGCACAAGTTTCCATGGGAATGATTGCACAAGAGCTGTGCGTGGAAGTCACTGCTTGTTGGACGTCTGTGTATAAACAGTTCTGGGAAAGAAACGGTCCCTGGAGCTTTAATGGTTCTGTCGTGTTTGCAGGTCAGACCAGCGGTGACCCAGATGTGTTTGGAAGGACCGGAGCTCTACTGAGACAACAGGAGCTGGAAATATCTTCCAGGAGAGGGAGGATTGGATGTTCTCTCCGGTTTTCTTTCAGCTTCTTGTGTTTCTCTGTCATACGAAGGATTCGGTTTAGCTCAGGTTCTTTCCTCTCTGAGTATCGACTGTTTGGTAGTTGGAGGAGCTGCACCCTGGTTCTGGTTTAATCGTGATTTAACTTTGTCTGCAGATTGTCTCCTCCTTGTTTTTGATCCCCTGATGTGAGCAAACTCAATCCTGCAGTGTTAAAGAAAATCCAGTAAAAAATGGTGAACATGTGGCAGCAAGGGTGCAAGAAAACAGGTTAAAAAGCATTTTAAAAACTGTAAAAAATAATGACAAATATCTGTAAAATAATGATATTTTCAGCAGATTTAAGTACAGACAACAGAATAACTTTATAGTTACACTATTATGAATAAAAACATTTTTTAAGAGTACGTTATTTATAGTGTTGGCCTGTTTTTTTCCTCAGTAAATATGTAAATTATCCCTTTTTTAAAATATGATTTAACTCTGTTAGGTAGATAGAAATACTTTATTTGGTCATTCCAGCACAAAGACAAAGCGACCACCACCATAAATAAGCAAAAATAAACAATCATATAAAATGCAAAATGTACAATAAGTGTAATATGTCAAGTAGAAGTTTAACAAAACATGGAAAATCTGCAAAATAATTACATAAAAAAGTATTCTCCCGCTTTTTAGACCTAGATAGATGATATTTTTTGCAGAATTTAGTTTTTTATTTTATGGTTAAATGTCGTGAAAGAACTAATTACCTTTTTAAAAAAACTACAGATTGTTTTATGTAGTGGATATTTACAGTTTTGGCCTTTTTTCTGTCTGTTTGTTTCACAGTTAACATGTAAATTAAGACTTTTCCTGTGATTTTATCTGTAACTTAAAACAGGGACTTTTTAAAAAAAATACCAGTAAACTGCTAAAAAAAATTACACTTGACTGAATTTCTTTAGTTTTTTACAGCGTGTGCATGGATTTATCTGTGATATCGAAGTCAGAACACATCTTAAAACTGAACTGGGATCAGCCCAGCATCCTTATTAAGTCTCTGTGGAAAGCGTATTTACTCAGGGACAGTTTGAGACGAGTACTTCTGTTTTATTCTCCTTTATGTTGGCTGTCAGCTCAAATGGAAACACGGCACGTCTCACTGATTAGCTGCTTTTAGGGTTGACATTTTCACGTGTGAGCATGTTTGTGAAACCGGCTGAACCTTTATGATGGTAACGAGCCTGGACGCAGCACAGAGCGAGTCCTCTGAGCAGGACTTCATGAAAACACACCTTGTTCCTGTGTTCTCTGTGAGGTGGATCTGAACATGAGATTACTGTAAAAAGTCGAGCAGCCAGGAATCAATTTGTGGTCCATGAAAGAGATGTTTTGATTTTATTCTGGTGCGTTCCTGAGAGTACAAAGAGAGCGACCATCATGTTTGACCATGAAACACATTGATGATACAGTCTGGATGTCAGCTGGAGTGTGAGCTGCCCTTAATGCACGATGGTGTAGTAGTTGGAGAAGAGCTCCTCCCCGGCGCTGATGTCTCTGAGCGACACCAGGACCACGCAGCGCAGAGGCCTCTGGGTGTCCAGGCTGTAGTTGACGTTGGGGAGGAACCGGCGGAGCTCGATGGGGAACCCGTCCGGCACGTCGTACTCCTGGTAGCAGACGTTGGCCGGCCTCTCGTTGGAGCAGTTGTTCACATACTGACCCACGGCGAGGGGGTTCAGAGGAGCTTCTGTCAGCCAGCTGGTGTCGCTTGTCAGGAAGGGACCCAGTCTGTCCCTGCCGCTGCAGGACCTGAACACCATCCTGGAGACGCTCCGGTCGTTTCCATCGACCAGGACGCCGTCGATGCACCTGAACACGAAGGGGTTTCTGATGGACTGCAGCAGGATGGGCTCGTGGGGCTGGTACACTGTGCCCGGGTACATGGCCACGGTGGCTCCTCTGGGTACCAACCCTCTGGAGACAAACACTCCGGTTCCGGCCCGCTCCAGAGAACTGGGCCGGCGCTCGATGCAGAAGCCCAGACACTGCAGCATGGCCTCCTGGGGGTCTCCTCCATGTTGCTCTTCTTCTCTGGTCACCTGTGCACCCTGGAACTGCCTGAGCTCAGCCCCATGACTGAGGAGTGTGAAGAGCCTCAGCAGACTCTCAGAAACCTCCACATCCGGGACCAGCTTGTCCTTGCAGCGTTCCGTCACCTGCCGCAGAGTCTTCTCATTTCTGGACAGATTCAGAACCATCCAGGGCACGAACCGGTGTCGGTACGACCTCCATTTGTTCTGAAGCGCTCGCAGGGCAGATCCGAACATCCAGAGAGCCGTCTGGTAGGTCCGACGCTCTTCCTCTTCTGGTTCAAGCTTTATTGACGTTTGTGAATTGGAGGTTTACCGCCACCTGCCGGCTGGAGGCAGAACGTCTGGTGTCTGTCACGGTCATTAAAAAACTCACATCCTCAGAATAAACCAGGCTGTCTGAGATATTAAAGGTGATCAGAAAACAGTCACTTATTGAATTGTTCAGTAGAATATCTGCAATATCTATTTTTTACTTTTATCTTCCTGAAGTTTTGAATTATTTGGAAATCTAATGAGATTTGACCCCAGATCTGATAAAGCAGCAGCTCTTCTCCTGGATCGTTCTGCTTAGTGGTCACTGGAACACCCAGAATGTTACCTGCACAAGTCTAGACTGTAAAACTGAAACAAACAAACAAACAAACAAAAAAACACAAATAAACAAATACAAACAAACAAACAGCAAAAGTCTGGCATTAAGGGTTCCAGATAAATACTTGAGAAAAATGGTGGAATACTATGACAAAATCAAAAACTGTAAACAAAGTAAAAATTAAAAACAAATAAAAACAATGATAATAAAAACAGCAAATATCTTTAAAATTATGCTATTTTAGCTGATTTAAATACAATAAAACTATTTTATCTGTAAAAACAAATACAGATTTTTGATGCACATATTTTCAGCTAAAGCCTGTTTTAAAAAAAAAAAAATTTTTAGGGTCAATATGTATATTAATACTGTTTTATAGCTATCATCTGCAATTTATTGAAACGGGAATCATCTGTGCAAAAAAAGTAAAAAAAAAATTAATTTACCCTTTACTTTCTTTCTTTTTTGGTGGTGCTGAAAAAATCTGTTAAGAAAATGGTGTGATACTGTGAAGATTAAAAACTTTTTTTTAAAAAAATGTGTCAAAATACCAACAAACATCTGTGAAATAATGATACTTTTATCTGATGTAAACATAGTAAAGCTGTGAAATTGTATGATCACAATGTTGAAAAAAACAAAACAAACAAACAACAAAAAACTATTGATTAATTGCTGATTTTTGATGTGAGCATTATTTATAATTTTGACCAGATTTTCAAAGAAATCTTTTAGGTTTAACATTTAATTAAGATTTACTAGATATCATTTGTAATTGAACAAAACAGGAATAATTATGTACTATTTTGAAAAATACTTAATATACATAATTTTTTCCTTTAAATAGTGGCTAGTACGATTGTATTTCTGCTTATTTAAATACATTTTAAAAATTGTGCAATTTCATGGTCACACAATGTGAAAGTGCACATCACAGATTTCTGTTCTCCATAGTTTTCAAAAATGAGTTAACATGTATATTAATACTCTTTTCCTGTGATTTTACTCATTACAACCTGTAATTTAACAAAACAGGGAGAATCAACAGTAAATTGCTCAGAAACGTATAATTAAATATGTATGTTTAATAGTGTTTGAGGGATAATTAATTACCTTAATTAGAACATAAGAAACCGAGGTGTATCAGGGTTCTCTTAACTCTTGTAGTTTTCAAACTGCCTCTTTAGGACAACATAAACAAAATCTTAAAATCCAGTTATGGCTTTTGGTTTCTGTGTGTCACTACAGACCTTTCACCCTCTTGGCACCGCCATCAAACCATATTTAAATATCTCAAACAGACTAATTTGACAGATTTTTTTTTAAATTAACGCTATCGATACCGGATAGTGTGATTCCCACTCCGGCCACCAGGTGGAGGTAAAACACCAGCTCACTGTGCGCCAGCCGCCAATAAACGTCAAACTCGAGGAAGAAGCCAGCTGGATGGGAGGAGAGGGAGTCCGGCAGAGACAAACATGGTGAGAAACGACTCTTTTTAGCCTTGTTGCTCGGTGCAAACACAAACAGAGCCCTCACACACAAACTACAACTTTTGGGTGATTAACAAAGCCAGTAAACTGTTTTAAAAACTTTATGTTCGCCCTGAGTAACGAAAACAAACGCAGCTAACAGCGTTTGCTAACTAGCTAAGGCTAACCAACTCGCCCAGTTAGCTAGCTAACCTTGCTAGCCTTCAAGCCAAACTGACAAACAACAATATTCACTGTGCGGCGACGTTAGCTGTGGACTGATGACGGCGGGATTTCAAGGCTTAATTTCTTGTTTGGAGTTTTAAACGCTACAGGTGTTGTGCCGAAAAGTGACCGCCTGCCAGTAACTGATTATCGTCCGTGGCAGCAATCACATTTACTGCATTATTCTGCCTGCTGTGTCCACCACTTTATAACCAGTCCAGCTGATTTTACCAGTTAAAACAGCTTCAAAGCACCAATTCAACTCGTGTAACACAGTCTTCCACTTTGCCCGAAAGTGATTCATGTGACTCAAAGGAAATGAAAGCATCAGAAAGACTTGAGTTCATTCGTCTGAGCTTTATTTTAATGATTGGGTTTGTGATGCTAAAGCTCTGCTGCTCTATTTCCATCCATCTACAGATTAAACAACCATAGCATGCAAACACATCTGACCTCATACGTCTGGTGGTAGCAAAGTGAAGCTTTAATGTTTTTCGTAACCAGGTAATTGTGAAATGTTTGCAGTTTCTAGCGTTCAGGCCTGACATGGAGACTGATTATAGGCGATCATATCGGTTTTTAGGATGTGTGTGGCTGCTATGTCCAATATCCTATCTACAGATGTGTGCAAAATATAGAAATGATCTCTTTCTCTCTGCTGACAATATTTCATTTCATTGCATAAAGAACATTTCAGTCACAATACAGGGGCTGCACTCACTTTCTGATGAGTGGAAAACTGCATTATGTTAATTGAATTGTTCCTTTAAAGCTGTTTTAACTCGTAAAAACAACTGGCTTGGTTATAATCAAGGCAACATGGAGATCATTGCTCCCATGGATGACAATCACATTGTGGTAGTTGAACCTTTTTGGTCAAACACTGTCTAACTGCAAATCAGTCCCTGCAGACAGAGTGTGTTTGCTCGTCCCCTTACTTCAGTAATTAAGACATGTGTGACTGTGGTTTAGTTTTTATATAATTTACAACTAGCTTGTGATTATTATGTGACGTTATAGACGATAACTCTTGAAGACTCGCAGACTAAAATGCCGTTTCAAAACAGCAGCTAAATGTAGTTTAACTGTTACAGAAACACCGTGTTTTCGCATAGTTTAAGTCTAATTGTGTGACATAGCCACAGTTATGTTAAATTCTTTTTATGTGTGATTGTTTTGTTTTTGTTTTTTCTGTGCAGAACAAGCTGAAGTCCTCACAGAAGGATAAAGTTCGTCAGTTTATGATTTTCACACAATCCAATGAGAAGACTGCGGTGACCTGCCTGTCGCAGAATGACTGGAAACTAGATGTCGCCACTGACAAGTTTTTCCAGAACCCAGAGCTCTACGTTTCAAATCTAAAAGGGGCTTTAGACAAGAAGAAGCTCGAGCAGCTGTACAACAGATACAGAGGTGGGCACTGTTGGGATGTAAATCACACTTTGCATCGCTAAAAAAAATAATCACACTAAACAATGTTTGTGCTCTGACGCCCAGATCCTCACGATGACAACAAGATAGGCATTGACGGGATTCAGCAGTTCTGTGATGACCTGGGTTTGGACCCAGCCAGTATAAGTGTCCTTCTCATAGCCTGGAAGTTCAGAGCAGCAACACAGTGCGAGTTCTCAAAACAGGAGTTCATGGATGGCATGGCGGAACAGGGGTGAGAATGTATTTTCAGATGATGCGAGCCAGAGAGAACAGACTTTGTTCCTCTGTTCTCTGTGAAGGGGGCTTTAACATTGTAAACTCACAGACGCAAGACAAGTAAGTGGACCGCTATAACTCACATGTTGACTTGATTTTAAGTGAGAGTGCTTTGAGAGGTTTGTCCGAGATGGATTGTGGTACAGACATATGTTGAATAGTGCTCAGTGTGATCATTTCTGTCTTGTTTTCTTGAGCATTAACTTGTTTTTCTGTTTGACTAATCAGTCATATGCATCTTTAATGATTAAAGATTAATCTAATGCACGTGAAAAAAAACCTTTGTTTTTGTCCACCGGGTAGTAAAAGTGTGATTTATGCTTCCGCAGGTGCGACAGCATAGAGAAACTAAAAGCTCAGCTGCCAAAGATGGAGCAGGAGTTAAAGGACCAAGGGAAATTTAAGGACTTTTACCAGTTTACATTTAATTTTGCAAAGAACCCTGGTCAGAAAGGCTTGGGTAAGAACCTCCCAGTCCTCCTCATGTTGCTCATCAACAGTTTGTGTTGAACTTCTTTTGACCTTCTGTCTGTTTTTTTCTTCCAGATTTAGAAATGGCGATTGCATATTGGAATTTAGTTCTGGCTGGACGCTTCAAGTTCTTGGACTTGTGGAATAAATTTTTAGTTGTAAGTTGATAATCTTGTTGTCAACATGCATATATTGTAAAATTCTTATTTATGAACTCTGCTCTACGTCTTTTCCAGGAGCACCACAAAAGATCGATTCCTAAGGACACTTGGAACCTCTTACTAGACTTCAGCACAATGATCACAGACGACATGTCGAATTATGATGAGGAAGGTTCGTAAACTCCTCACGCAACTATGCAGAAGCATTTATTTTTGTAACCTATAATGTGTTTGACGGGCTGCAAGGTGGCTCGGTGGTTAGTCTCCATGTTCTCCCCGTGCAGCGTGGGTTCTCTCCGGGTTCTCCGGCTTCCTCCCACAGTCCAGAAACATGCTGAGGTTAATTGGTGATTGTAAATTATCCGTAGGTGTGAATGTGAGTGTGCTTGGTTGTCTGTCTCTAAGTGTAGCCCTGTGATAGACTGGTTACCTGTCCAGGTGAACCTGCCTTCACCCTGAGTCAGCTGGGATAGACTCCAGTCCCCCATGACCCTAGTGAGGATTAAGGTGTAGAGATGATGGATGTGTTTCCCATAGTGATGCATGATATTAAAATTTCTGGCCGATACCGATATCCGATATCCGAGATTAAGATTTCTGATATCGCCGATAACCGGTATTACTGATGTCGATATTTAATTTTGGCTCACACCGAAAAATGAGTATCAGTAAGCACTGTGAGGAAACTATTCAAAAGAAGCTCAAATCAGACCACATAGTCTTCTTTATTACGTATCAAAACATATTTAAACATATTTAAGTCCAGGACCATTTAAGTCAAAACATCTGTGAAATAGCAGCGATATCAAACGTAGAGACGAAGGCGCTGATGTTAGACAATCATCGGCTAAATGTGTTCATCAGGCCGATACCGATATGCGGGAAAAAACACTGATATCGGCCGATACCGATGTGGTCGTCGATTTATCGTGCACCCCCAGTTTCATGACATTAAAAATTACCTGTCATCCATCATTCTGTATTTAGCTACGTGACGGTTTGTGTCTTCAACAGGAGCGTGGCCCGTCCTTATCGACGACTTTGTGGAGTTTGCGCGGCCGCACATCGGGACCAAGAGCACAGCAGTTTAAAGGCCGCTCTCGCCGAAGGAACGTCCAACACGAGGTTCCTACAGAACGGAGCGACCGGAGGACAAGACGACCGCACTGAGCTGAGATCTACGTTGCCTTTTCAACTCTCAGGACTGAAACATTTTACACAGCAGAGACTTTATATGTATAAATGTGTGTATAGGTACATGCACACATTTATATGTATATGAATTTATGTGTGTATGTGTATATATACGAAAAAGGCATATCTCTTTGTTGGTCAACTTGTGATGGTTTGGAACTTTTATCTAAAGTATTGGGCTTCTGTCTGCGCTCAAGCCACCTCGAGAGGAGCCACCATTTTTGCCACATGCGCTTCACTGATGGCTCAGCAGCAGGTAGATAGACACACTTGAATTGTAAACACGAGGGAGGGGGACATTGTTCTTTAAATATTGGATTTTAATACTAGTGTGCATTCCTGATTTAGTTTTTTTTGTTTTATGATACATTTGTGTGACAAGTCGGTATAAAACCCTTGATTGTAATTCTTTTTTAAGCATAATGCTGTTTGTTTAAACACAAATGTATAAAGATAAAATAAATGTTTCCATTTGGTATCTTTAAGGCTGCGAGGCCCGTGTGCATTTGTACTCATGAAGGGTGTTCATATGATTAGGGCTGATGAGCTCCAAAAGAGGTTAGCAATACAGCAGTCAAAATGGAAATACAGTCGGGACTCGATAATCCGACACTAAATGTAAAACCTTCTTTTATGTCGGATAGCAAGGCTGTCGGATTGTCAAGACGGAGGTCCAGATACAAGGAGGGCTTATGCTGGAAGGCTCATTAGTTGTTAATTATTGTTCATAGTTGTTATAATAACTAGTAGGGCTGGTCCCAATAGCACTTTCTGCTCTCTGGATATTCAGGCCCAATTAATGATGGATATCTGAATATTCGGTGCGGTCGGGGGACACTTCCACCCCGGGGCAGTGCTCTGATGGGATGGAACTGTCCAGAACACACAGGCAGTACTTGGCTGCTGATGCTAGTTTAGTTAGCGCTCACACTTCTGTTTCTACCATCGGTGGCGGCGGGGGAGTGGCAGATACGCTCCACTGTTACCATCCATGTTTACTTCCATAAACACTGAACACGCTCGCTGCGTGTGACGTCGTCGTGTCCTCTTCTGCGCATGCGGGACACTTTTGGGTCGTATGAAGTTTACACAGCAGATCACATACAAGTCGCATTGAACTGGAAATGTGAAGGAACTCACAAAGAAATCCTCATTGAGCATCAAGTCCTGCAGTGTGACCGTAGCCAATCTGTGGGATTGTTCAGTCAGATAATACGCCGTTATCCTGATTGGTTTCCTCAACTGACTGTACTTTTAATCTTATTGTCAAGTTGTTCTTCAGGTTTTAGTTTGTTAGAAAAGAGACGTAATTAACGACAGGGAAAGATGCGATGTGTTGATGGAGCCAAAGTGCCAGGAGACATCATGTGGATCTCCTATAAAACATCACGTCTCATTTAGTACATTTTAGGGTTTCTAGTCTGCAGGTGACTATCTTCCAGGAGAAGTCTGTCCAGCTAAGTTCTTAAAGGTCGTATAAAACCAAAGAAATGCCTTATAATGCACAAACCAAGCAAAAGTAAAAATACTCAATTACAGGCCAAAATCCTGCGTGAGAATCTCCATGTATCAGCAGGAAAGTGTAGTTAAAGCTGTAAAGTACTGGTTTGGTCCTTCTGGCTGATATATGACATGATCAGATTATTGAAGCGTCACGTTGCTGTTAAAGCTGCTGGAACTACTTTATATCCAGTTTTATATAAACAGGGACAGAAGATGGATCTTGGTGGCTGTCAGATGATTATAAAAGAAAACAAATCTGTTTTTGGTTTTGAACTTTCTGAAATCCTCTATTTTTGGTGAGATCATCAGAACATTTATCAGAATGAAACCAGGTGTTTGGTTTAGAGGGGGAAAAAAAATCTTTATTTAATGGAGCTGTTAACAAGTCAGATATCTGAACCGTGACCCTGAACACCCACTGGTTTTGTAAGAAAAAGATGGAAATTACTGGTTTATTTTTGACTGTGTTGCCTTGTGAAAGCTTGTTCTGTTATCAATCGTATAAAATGTTTGTTCTAGAAGGAACCAAAGCTGTCGGATAAATGCAGTGAAGTAAGAAACGTAGTGAGGTGGAAGTATGCAGTAACATTTAGTAGAAATACTCAAGTACCTCAAAGTTCTACTTAAAGGTTGCTACTCAGCAGCTGGGTCTTACAAAAAAAACTTTTCTAGCTTCAGTTTTACTTGATATTGTGCATTTTGGAGGCTTTTCACAATTGAATGAAGGATAGATGGAGATAGATAAATGGATAGAACAGTGTTTTTTTCAAATAACCAATGCTTAAATAGATTATATCCTGATAGAAACACACAAATTCAACATGTTTGGAATGAGAACTATTATGCAAAAATTAAAAAAAAGAAGAAAAAAAAATCCACATAAAAATAAAAGTGAATTATTTCCATCTAAATGTAGTTGTGGATGTACTTTCCACCGCTGCTGATGGAGCAGTACTTATATCACTATGGCATCATTTAAATGATCATTCTGGAAATCTTTCTGATTCTCATGAACGTTATTTTCCAAATGTATATGACTTTTGTATGATTGTAATTAAGATATGTTTTTATTTTAAGTGTCATGGCTCCTGTCTGTGTCCTACATGTTGACTACAGGTCACTTCTGTCGTGTTTATTGATTTAATTTAATTTGAAAGCAGCCTGACGGACGCGCTGAGCCGCGTGCAGACTTCTCTCCTCCTTGGTCTCGCGCTGCCTCCCCGTGGCGACGCCAGTGAAAGGCGCGTGCGGTTGCCACGGGAGACTTGACAACAGACAGCTGGCATAGCAACCAGGAGACAGACAGAGGCGGCTGGATTTCGGAGCGAAGCCTGTTTTTTATTTTCTCTGAATTCTGATTTTGTTTCTCAGCAGAGAGTTTGTGAAGCAGCGCGGGAGGATGTCGGACGCTCTGCACGCAGCTTTACCGGACGCAGGCTGGGACGAGCGCCTCGCTGTCCCCGAGCTCAACGCCGAGAACAGGGCTCTGATGGAGGAGGTGGGTGACGGAAAGTTATCCTCAGTTATTTAGATTTTTTAAATTTATTTTATTTTATTTTTTTACACAGTTTTTAAATTATTGTGGCTATTCTGCTTCTATAATGTGTCTTCTGTGGGACTGGGGGGAAGAAAACGTAGAAAATACAAATGTCATGTCGTTTGGTCAAAGATATTCATATTTTCACGAATGATAAGTTAGAGAAAAGGTTACAAATAAGTTCATAATGTATAAATAAATAAGTCAACTTCATAGGAAAAACCGTTATAAAGCTACGGTTATAAGGTTATCCGAGTGAGACGTCTTCAGGGGGGGGGATCGTTTTGGTTCCGTCAGAGTGAGCGCTCGTCTTGATTATAAACGATCTTCGGCGTTTTTCCTGTTGGTGAGAAGCGGCCGGCGGTGTGACGGAGACAAGGTCTGGGGAACCTCGGATGTGCGCTGTGTCGGTTCTGGAGCGTTTGAGCCTGGGGAAATTTTCGTCTTTTTAATAATTGTCACGTTGACTTCGAGAAATCTCCATAAACATAAGAAAAGCAAGCCTTGTGTGTGGAGGTTCTTAAATAGTTCGCTGGCTGTCTAGCAGCACACAGTTACATGCAGTGAGGACAGCACAACAAACTCATTTAGTTTCTACGGCGCCGTGACACTGGCGGCTACCTGCAGCGGCTCCTTCCTACTTTCTGTGTTTTAGCTATTTTCTTTGGTTTTTCTTCTATCTTTTTAATGTTTTAATTTCACACAGCATTTGTGCAGGAACAGTGGAGATGCAGATGGAGTTTTTTTTTTTGTTGGTCTGTTCTTTGCTGTTTTTTTTTTTTTTCTTTTGAGAGTTTTTGGGGTCCACCTCTGACTTGGTTTATATTACCACAGTACATTTAATTTTAAAAATGTATGTATTTATTTAAAATTTATTGTTTTTAATTAATTAATTTATTTTCTTTCTTTCTTTCTTTATTTATTTAAATAAAAAAATGCATATCAAACAAGAGCTCAACTCTTAAGAGGTTAAAGACAATTTTCCCAGCTTTCTTTCCACCAATCACAATCGTCTTTGGGTTATATTACCAAAGTAGTTCATTTAATTTTTAAAATTATTATTATTATTATTATTATTATTGTTATTGTTGTTGTTGTTATTTTATTTTTAAATATATTTTTTATTTTCTTTATATTTTTCATTTTTTTTAAATAAAAAAATGCATGTCAAACAAGAGCTTGGGTCTTAAGAGGTTAAAGACAACTTTCCACCAGTTACAATCATCTTCGGTAGAGGGAAGCAGCACTGTCATTAAAATGGGAAATTCACTGAAAAAACAGGACATGAGCCAAAACTTTGACAAAAACTTTAAATGCTCAGTGTGGGAGGTTGCTGCCTGGAGGTTGTTGTTGTTGTTTCCTGTAGTGACTACAGATAGGAGACTACATTCATACACACATGAGGAATTAATAAATCATTGGGACACAGGAGCAACACTGAAAACTTCCAAATATAAGCTTTTTAAATCTTGCGTTGTGGTTATTGTATTACTAAAATGTTTTGTAAGATATTCACTGATATTTACCCTCATGGCACCTGTACTTGGTTTTATCAACACAGAACAAGCAGCCGGCCAAGTTATTATCACAGGACAAATGTTTGCGACTGTCTTTCCAGACCACTGGGTTGAACATACATGCTGCAGATTGTATGTCATCATGCTTGTAATCTGCTGATTTCCTCAACAACAGATTCGTAAAAAAGAGACAGAGCTGGTGCAACTGGAAAACAAACTGGAGGGAAACAAGGATCAAAAGCAGATGTTAACTGATTTCCTCAAAAGTTCTAAACAGGAGCTGGAAAACACTGAAGTAGGTACATCTGAACACAGTATTTATCATGTGTCAGGCCAGCGGGAGTCTCTTCTTGTAGCTGGCTTATAGTCACCGTGTCGGGGAGTGTTGTTGATTTGTCATTTTGATTTTCTGCACAAAGGCTCTGTGTAAGGCAAAGCAGAGGGAGGAGGACCTGGAGAAACACCTGACAGCCCTGACAGAGAGAGAGACGGGTCGCCTGGCTCAGGAGGCTGCCAAGATGGACAATGAGCTTGGATCTTTAGCAGAGAGGAAGGACATGTTAGAGGTTTGTGTGTACACTTAGAAACACAAAAACAGAGAAACCGCTTTAGCTGTTCATGTCCAAATGTGCTTTTTAATCTTCGTCCGTATCCTCAGAACCACATTTTCAAAGCCAGACAGAAGCTGGAGGAGTTTAGGAACCAGCTGAACTGGGACCAGCAGACGATGGACGCTTTTCTGGAGGAGTCAGCGAGCAAAGACGAGGACACGATGGCTGTCATCAAGTACGCTCAGCAGGATGAGCAGAGGATCAAGGTAAACAAACAGCTCCAGACTAAACTGTTGCTTACAGCTCTGACTCCTGCTGAGCCTCCTCATCTCTCCTCATGCAGTCACTGACTCTGGCCATCGAGAAGAAGACCCTGGAGGCCCACGAGAAGCGCAGAGCACTGGACAAAGAGCTGACAGAGACTATGTCTGCACAGGTAACGTAAGAAAACACACGACATCGACACTCTTTGTGTGCTCCAGTCTTGTCTTAAAGAACTTTAAACAGAGCCGACTACAAAGCAACCAGAGAACAAGTTCAGTATGTGTAAATAATGACCATGTGACCCCACCTAGTATGTTGGTTGGGCACACTGGCTGTCTGTTTGGCTCCTCAGGTCCTCAGACTGCTGGAGACTGAGTTTGCGGTTCTACCTGCTTGGGCCCAGTGCTCCCAGGCTACAAAAGGGCCAACCCCTCAGCTCCTGCTTTCTCTTTCTCCTCATGCCTGTTGACTTGGGCTTGTGTCATTTTGGTTTGGTCTTTACATCAGACAACACCTTGCACCACATCCAGGCATCCAGGCTTCCGCACCTACACTACTGATATCATTGATGTACACGTCTCACTTCTGGCAATACCTGTGTCGTCTCCCCTCTTTTTGCCGTAACCTATTTGCTGGGTTGTGACAAGAGGAGGACAGACGATGCAAAGCCGGTCACTATATCTTTTTGCAAAAATAACAGGATGTCTGCTAGCAAATGTGTCAGTTATCAGAAGTTGCTGTCCCCGGCTTGTTCTCCATGAAAACGCCTCTGCTGTCCTAACAGGTCGCTTTGGATAAGATGACAGAGAACCTGAAGCAGGCTCACCTGGAGACGCAGCAGCTCATCCACCAGTGGGAAAACACCATCAAGCAGATGAAGCAGCGAGATGTTCAGATGCAGCAGTGTGCGCTGGTAAAGAGTGTAGCTGCTGATAAAACTGAAAACATGATGTGAATTTCACTGCACAGTGCACTCGAGTGACTTCTGTCTGTATCGTTCCAGCAACTTGCCCAGGCCAAGCAGAGCCTCAGGGAAAGGAAGGGCACCGTCACAGAGAAGAAGCACTTGCTGGATACTGAGAAGGACAACAACAAAGAAACTCAGAGGGCACTGACGGCAGCCAACAGACTGGCAGTGAAGCTGCGGCAGGATCTGACGGAGCAGGAAAATAACTGCAGGCGGCTGCAGGATGAGGTCAGCAGAGTGTGAGGAGTAGTCGTAGTAAGCTAGAGTCGTGCTGTAAGAGTGAGTGGGTTTACTGTCATGTGTCCCACAGCTGAGCAGCTGCAAAGGCACACTGAACGGAACAACGTCCAACGTGGAGTTTCTGATGGCCCACATATCCAGAATGAAGAAGGAGAGCCAGGATAACAACCACAAGTCAGTGAAATATCACAACACTTGTCTGTCTATAAATGACCACATGAGGGCTTCAGTCCACCGGCTCTGTGTATGTACGTGTGTGTTGTAGATTGACGGAGGCCAGGGCCTACAACGCCGCCCTGGAGGAGAAGCTGAGAGTTGTAACTCAGACTGCACTCAGTGAGGAGGAGAGAGCTGCACAGATGGACCAGTTCCTCAAAGATGAAGAGCAGGCCATCGAGGTGAGCTGAAGGTGGAGCCAAGTGGAAGCTGATTAATGTTGTACACGGTCGGTTCTTCTTCTCAGGATCTTGTGGTCATGTAGTTATTATCTGAAACATGAGCACTCTTTATAAAACCTTTACATCGACAAAGCTACTAAAAATAAGGCAACTAAATGGTAGATATTTTTTAATTAGATATATTCTTTACACTTCATGCACTTCAAAGACAACTTGTCACATTGTTCTGCTTCATCAGGACCTCTTGGTGTCACATTTAAATGCACAAGAGACCTTTTACTATTCCAATAAACCTTTAGAGTTTCCTGAATGCCAGAAATAGAAACCATGAGTCTTGTTCCTGTTGGTGTCACTGTCGCTCCTATTCAGACAAACTTGCCTCCTTAACCAAACACTTTAGATGCCTAATCCAATCTAAACAGCAAGTGAAAACAAACTTAATCCTGCAGTACAGAGGAATGTATTATTGAGCAAGTCTGAAATAACAAAGCTTTCTCTGTTTAAGCTGACAAAACCTGAAACCCTCGTCAGAGATAATGGATGAAACAAAAACAGTTCTCCACGTTGTTTGTGTCACAATCTTTGGATGTTTTCTTACAGTGTTTGTTCCTGTAGTCAGACTGTTTTCTTTCCTTTGAATGCTAAGTTTCTGTCAAAGCTTTTCTCCGACATTTCCTCGGCTTTACTCTGTTACCCCCTCTGCAGCTCTGCAAACCAATCATTGCTGGTCGATGTAAAATGCGTAACTGATGTTGCTCTAGCAAACGGATTTCACCACATATACCAGATTTAACACTCCAGCTTACTGCAAAATACAGAGATTAGATAAGCAGCATTGTGTGAACTCATAGAAAAATCTCTGTTCATACACCAAGTGCGATAATTTCTTCAATGCAATATCCGGTTTTCTTTTATTTAATATTCAATTTTTTTCTGTTCTTCATCCCTTTAGTCGTGTAAATACCCCTGTCTTGTGTACTGTTTGTCCTGATGTTTTGCCTGCGAGAGCTGCTAACTCAAATTTCATTTTGATTTCTTGTACAATGACAATAAAGAGGTTCTGATTCTGATTTGTGCGTGACGGTCCCACACTCCTGCTTTAAGTCCTGAAATGCAACGAAACTAAGTGAAAAGATAACGGTCCAACACGGGAAGCAAGTCTCTAGAGGGAAAGTGCTGTGACTCTAAAACTGATAGAAACACTGTAGGTCTGTGGTAGGTGGGCAGATCGCTGAGTGACGATCTATTTTTGAAAGAGCAGGATTTGACGCGCTCAGTTAGCACCGTCACCTCGCAGCTAGAAGGTCATCGGATCTTTCTACATGGAGTCTCCATGTTCTCCCCGTGCAGCGTGGGTTCTCTTCGGGTTCTCCGGCTTCCTCCCACAGTCCAGAAACATGCTGAGGTTAATTGGTGATTCTAAATTGTCCATAGGTGTGAATGTGAGTGTGCTTGGTTGTCTGTCTCTAAGTGTAGCCCTGTGATAGACTGGTTACCTGTCCAGGTGAACCTGCCTTCACCCTGAGTCAGCTGGGATAGACTCCAGCCCCCCATGACCCTAGTGAGGATTAAGGTGTAGAGATGATGGATGGATTTGACACTCTGAGAATGGAAAAAGGTGTAAGACAAGTGTAAGAAATTTCAAGGCCCCATTTAAAGTTTAGAGCAGTAATAGGTAAAATGCATATCCAAGGCATAATATCCAAGTTTGATGTATCTGTAAAAAATGTTTTGACCTTTTCCCGCTTATCTTCCTGCTGCCGTACTCCAGATGAGCAGAATCAGTGCTACACATGATGAGTCCAGATTTTTATTGTGCTCAAACTGACTGAGCTTCATCCTTCAATTCTCTGCGCTTGTGCTTTGCTGCAGGAGCTGGATGTGCTGCTGCGCGACTGCATGGCGGGGCTCTTTCATCATAAAGAGCATTTGCAGGCCGTCAAGTCGAAGGAGAAGGATTTCCTCGTGCAGATTTCAAACAATAAATCCATTGTTGCCAGCCTGGGCAGCCAGCACAGGAAACTGGAGAAGGAACTGTTGAGACAGCAGAAGACTATGATGAAACAGGCATGTTCACTAGAAATACAACCCACAGCAGCTTTCACTAGTCTGTCGCTACACTCAGCAATAGCAGTACATATGTTTTTCTTTCACTTTCCTGCATCGTGTAGGACACCCAGATGTCCATTCTGACTGACAAACTGGCGCGGCTGCAAAGCGACGTTCAGTCAGATGAAAAACAAATGCTGGACAAGAAGATCGCTGAGCTCACCAAAGACCTGGAGGAGAAACAGAAGGCAGCCAAACTGATGACCAACGCGCTCAAGGAGTCTGAGGTCGGTCCGATACGACACCGTATGGTTCTGCATCTTCCTCTGAAATATTTACACCTCACCTTTGTCTCTGGCAGGATGATATCCGCTATCTGAAGAAAGATATGGAGAAGTCAGAAGCTCAAAAGAGAGATCTGACCGACAAGGTGAATGAGCTCATGCTGGTCCAGAGCACCAACGAGAAGGAGCTGAAGAGGCTCAGACTGAAGAAACTTGTAAGTAACAGACGTCATATCAGGCAATCAGCTGAGGCACTGGAGGAAAATAAACCAAACCTGAAAAGAACTGTTTTGATGTGCCTGAACGTTGGTGAGCATTGATCCCTGAGAAGCATATTCCAGCTGTTAGCAGTCAGTCAGTGGAAATGTGTCCTAATATGTACTAAATAATGCACTAAACGGGAGGCGATGTGTGTTGATCTCGTGTGTTCCTCATCAGGACAACAGGATGGAGCACAAAGTTCTGAAGACGGACGTCACACGCGTGAGAGACCTGCTGTACAACAAGGCCGACAGCGTGCTGTCTCTGGAGAAGAGGAAGCTGCTGCTGCACACAGCCATGAGAGAGCAAGAGGCTGAAATCAAGATCTACAAAGAGATGCTGGGCCAGCAGCTCAAGGTCAGCGAGGAGGAGAGGCGGACGCTCAGGTGAGAAGCTGTGACGCTCAAATACAGCCGTGAAAAACGAGTACGTTATGGGAAAAAAAACATAATTGCAAACAGATAAAAGCCCTAAACCTGAACACGATCACAAGGAAAAAGAGCTTTTTCAGAGCATTCTCAACAGATCATCCACCAGTCTCTGACCTCAGCTGAAATATTTGATCGCTCTTTTGGTTGCAAGATGTTTGAGGGTTTTCCTGCGTGTGCGGCTCCATTCCAGTCATTTCAACGGGATTCAAATCACTTCATTTCCTCTTTCTTTGCCACAACTCGGTGAATCAAAAACTGAATTTCCCTTCTGGGATAAATAAAGTATTTTCATTCATTTCATTTCATTTCATTCATTTCATTTCATTTCATTTCATTTGCCAGCATCAGTATCCTGACGTAAGCTTCACTTTCACTTCAAGTTCAGCCCCTGGACAGATGCTGACTGTGGTTTTGCTCTCGTTCTGATGTTCTCGGTCTGATGCTGTTCACACATGAACAGCAAAGAAAACAGCAGATTTCAGAGGTTCCACAAGTCACTCCTTAAAGAGGTTCTGATTGCTGGGGCCTCATCTGAAGCTCCTGATTTGAATGTGTGATAAATGGGAAGGTGCTGTTACTTTATCCGTACATTTGATGTGTTTTTTTGTTTATTCAAATTATGAAAATGGTGACAAAAAGTTTGAGGATATCACTTTAATGTGTTGCGCTGAGATGATCAAACGTGTGCTTGATCATCTGGTTTTGGTTCCTCTCAGAGTGTCATTTTTTTCAACACACCTGATTTATTTCTTGGTTCTGTCTCAGTGTTGAACTCAACGAGAAGCTGCACAAGATCGACATGAAGAAGAAACGTTTCGAGGTCGTGACCCTGTCGCTGGCGGCTCCTGAAGGCGAAGAGGAGCATTCACAGGCCTATTACATCACAAAGGTGGGAGGTCGTCTCACGTTTAGAGCCCGTCCAAGCCGATCCAGGTCGCGTCATTCCTGCACCACAGCAGCTCTTTGAACCACTGCTGTGTGCCTTTCACCAGGCGGCGCAAGAGAAGGAGGAGCTCAAGCAGAAGGGAGATGCTCTGGATGCTCAAATTCGCAAGATGGAACTGGAAAACAGAGCTCTGGGCAACACCGTCCAGCTGTTCAACGACAGCAACTCTGCATTTCGCGAGTCCCTCAACAGAGCAAAGAAATCCAGTATGTGAGACAATCCCACAGCCCTGTTATCAGCACCAATCGGTTCTCTTTGTGCGTTAAAATGAACACAGATTAATTTAGACCGTTTTCATTTCAGGTCCAGAATATCAGGAGCACCTGAAGCTGGAGGATAAGCTGAGGGTGGCCGAAGAGACGCTAAAGAATCGGAAAAGACAAATGCAGGAGCTCCAAAATGACTTACAGGTTATTGGTATTTATAGCATCTGGAGAGCAGAGTTCTTAGAAGAGCAATTAGTCCCTGAATGCTGAACACCTCCACTTGAATCATGTTCAGATTACATTACCTCCTCCCAAGGTTGAACAACACGTACATCTTGTCAAACCATTTTTGTGTCATATCTGTTGCCTGTTTCTCATTAGTATAATGTTCAACTTTTATCTTTTCATAAGTTAAAAAAAAAATAAATCACAATCGTCCGTGACCAAGAATTCAAAGCGGTTCTGTTTGCTCCGGATTGATTTGCACGATTCATAATCCATTACTGAAGTTGTGCAGAATGTCCTCCCTGAGTTCTGAGAAGCTACCAGCTAGAAATAGCTCAAGTATTAGAGACAAGTCATGTGAAAATCTTCACTGTCGTATCACAAGCTGCAGCATAACACCTAAAGATAAGAATTTTTTAAGTTGTTTTTTGGGCCTTTTTGGCTTTGTTAGATTGGACAGTTGAGAGAGACAGGGAAGTGGGAGAGGAGAGAATGGGGGGAAGGACTTGCAGCAAATGGCCATGAGCAGGATTTGAACCCATAGCCGCTGCATTGGAAACTATAGCCCCTGTACATGGGTCGCCAGCTCAACCAGGTGAGCTAAGGCAGTGGCTCAAAAAGTACCAATTTTAGGGTGTTAAGCAATATATCGAGCATCTTGCTAACTGCTAATTACTTCAGTTATATGAGCTGTACATCCATCCATCCATCATCTCTACACCTTAATCCTCACTAGTGTCATGGGGGGCTGGAGTCTATCCCAGCTGACTCAGGGTGAAGACAGGTTCACCTGGACAGGTAACCAGTCTATCACAGGGCTACACTTAGAGACAGACAACCAAGCACACTCACATTCACACCTACGGACAATTTAGAATCACCAATTAACCTCAGCATGTTTCTGGATGGGCTGCAAGGTGTCTCGGTGGTTACCACTGTCGCCTCACAGCTGGAAGGTTGCCGGTTGGTGTCCCGGTGAGGACACCCGGGATCTTTCTGCATGGAGTCTCCATGTTCTCCTTGTGCAGCGTGGGTTCTCTCCGGGTTCTCCGGCTTCCTCCCACAGTCCAGAAACATGCTGAGGTTAATTGGTGATTGTAAATTGTCCGTAGGTGTGAATGTGAGTGTGCTTGGTTGTCTGTCTCTAAGTGTGGCCCTGTGATAGACTGGTTACCTGTCCAGGTGAACCTGCCTTCACCCTGAGTCAGCTGGGATAGGCTCCAGTCCCCCATGACCCTAGTGAGGATGAAAGTGTAGAGATGATGCATGGATTTTGCTCATTTGCTAGTTGGGTATAAATGTTAACCTTTGTGCAGGAGTGACTTTGTCTACCAATAGCCTCACAACCAGCTGGTGTGACCTCGTTACCTGTAAATGAGATGCTCTGTTACTAAAACTCTGCCCGGTTTACATGAACAACTGTGTCTATGAACCACCGTCTCAGTACTGTGGGAAATAATTCACCATTTTCTATCGTCTCCCTCCTCTAAACACTCTCTCATCGCTTCACACATCTCCACTCGCCCTCCATTCTCATCTCCCGTCTGCAGAAGTAGCTATTATTCAGTCGGGTCCCTGCGAGAGTATTAAGTTAAAAATAAACCCGCTCAGCAGCTCCGTCTATCTGAGTCATCCGTTGAAATCGACCTTGGCTGATTCTCTGTGTGTGTGTGTGCACGCCTTGCTTTTGTGTGCTCATGTGTGTCGCTCTCCATTTCCAGGACATGAACAATACCTCGGAGAGTCTGCTGCCAGAGGAGCAGGTTGAGAAAGACAAGATCGCAGAGAAGCAGTCACTCATCAGTAAGCTGAGCAAAGAACTCGCTTCCCAACAAGAGAAAATCGATCGAGCCATAAAACAGGTTTGATACCCGCCGGTGTCGCTTCAGAACCAGCAGCAAAACACAGCAAACAGTAAACAAACAGAGAATGTTATACGTTCCAACAGGTATCCCAGATCTGTTGACACGATCATATTTAATGTCTGTGCTGTCCTGCTGTTTGCCAGAACTCCAAGCTGACCAGACAGATCCGCTCAGCACAGAACACCAGGAGTGAGACCTTCGAGGAGAAAGACATGAAGCTGAGGGAGCTCAAAGACCTCAACAAGAGCATCGACAGGATGCTAAACGAGGTCACAGAGGGCGACCCTGACCTCAGATCAGCGCTGGAGAAATACTTCCTGCAGGTGACGACGCCACGTTGCTCCAGGTTGATGAAGCCTTCAGCACCGACGGGTTTTCACTGTTAATGCTTTTTGTTTGTGGTGCTTCCTTCAGGCCAGTCTGTGTCTTCCGGCTCCGTCCTCCACCCCGAGCAGTCGCCGGACCTCCAAGGCGAACGCTGCCCGCAGCTCTGCCTCTCTCAGGTTTTAAAAAAAATTATTATTAATGATTTTTAATAACAGAAAATGACAGTGGACGCAATAATAAAGACACAAAAAGGAGTATAACAACAGATATTCGATGATACAGAATCCAGTAAAGCTTTAGGCCCCAACAAGTTGTCATCTCGAAGGATTAGAGGAGTCACTGGAACATTTGGTTTCTATTGTTCATTAAACGGTCAGTTGGGCTGATGGGAAGCTCAGGGCTGTGATCATATGTTATTCAGTCTCAGATCATCAGCGGCCTTCTGCTCGGCCACCTCTGACTTGCTTGAAATGCTTTGTTTTAATCATAAACTTTGGATGTTAAATAGTGTCCGTACAACATTTCCAACTTCCAGCATGTTTTTGTAGCATTTTTTAGGCTATGTTTGAAATTTAAATGACGATATCTCCTGAACCATCGAAGATAAATGCCTAAAATTCTCACTGTTATATCAAATCATGTCATTGATTAAGAATCTGCAATATTGGACATCAAAATCTTTATGAGCTGAAATATGAAAATAAAAATGAAGCTCTCATGAAAAGCTCCATCTCTGGGCACAGAAACTTTAATAAAACAGAAGTGATATGTTGGAACCACATTTCGCTGTATGTCACAATCACACAGAACAAAACATGCGGAATATGTTTTAGTTTGAAATACGTGGTCACAATGAACAATGAAATACATTGTTGTTGAACTTTCATAACTGATTGAACAAGTTGGACAAGTTGATCCACTAAAACAAGAACGCTGGCAGACAGCCTCATACAAACACAACAGAGTTTAAAAAGTGTCGCAATCAGAAATATTTAAAACGACCCACTGACTATACGAGTCACCGGACAAAGCTGATTATCTGTATTAAGAAGACGTGACAGCGATCAGTAATGTCCAGCCAAAGTTGCTCTTGCATAACCTCTGCTTCACAAACATTCCAGCACAAGCTGCATGATGATTTTCTTCATGGTGTGATGCGTGGCATGTTGGTTCTGAAGTAGCTGCCACGGGCCACCGATACAGAAACCTAGATATCACTGAGCCTCAGTCAGCTCCCATCAGTGTGTCTTCTAAGCTTCTCTTCTTTCCTCGGGTCAGAATTAATCATTTTTTAATAAACCTTCTGCTGCAGGGATGGTGGCGGTTAGTAATGAGGGCGTGTCGTTAGTCATCTGTTGGTCTGATTATAACACTATAACTGAAAACTTCTCGTTTGTTCACAGAATATAACCAGTCAGCTGAAAGTCTTCATGGTTTTATTGTGAAAGGGAAAATAGAGTCTCAGAAGTTCCCATGCCAGCTGAGTACCACTCACTTTGCTGCTCTTCTCTCTGCACTGCAGGTCTCCAGCCTCCTCGGCCGCCAGCAGCCCCAGAGCCTCCTCGCTTCACTCCCCGGCGCTGAAGACGGTGGACCTGGGCCTGGCTCTGGCCGCCACCTCCCCTCCACTCACCACCTCCAGATGTTCCAGCTCTGCCAGCAGCACAAGCAGCAGCAGCAGCAGGAAGTCCAAGAAGCTCTGATGTGCTGCTGCTTCATCATTCTTTATTCAGTGAAACATTTCTGCAGAATAACTAACCTGCATTACATGAATGTTCTGAGCCGTAAGAGGAAGTTCAGGATGGTTTGTGTGTAATCCTTGAATTTACTGTTTGCACTCTGCTCACCTCATTTTACAGTCGTTATATTTATTTATGTAGCTCTAATGAACCTGAAGTGACCTAATTAGAAAGAGTGTGCTTTATCAAATCATTTTTAATTAGATTTTTCTGAAGGAAACACGGTTGTTTTCATTCTTGTTCTTGATTTTATGTTTTCTTTTTACTTAAAAATATAATTGACCCAAAGAAAACTCAATAAAAAGCAGCAAAAAAAAAATAAAAATCTTACAGCTTTTGCTTCTATGCAGAATTTGGTTTTGGAAGCTGATCAGAAACAAATTTCTTTCTTATCTGCGTCATTTCCAACCTCGTTAAGTATTTTTCTGTAGGTTCACGTTGTTTTCCAGGTCTCGCCTTATTAGCTGCTGTTAAAGTTCATGAGTTAATCATAAATAAAAACTCAACTTTGAAAAAAATCCATGCATGACTACTTAATAAAACACTTCCTCATATTTCATGGAGGGTTGTGTTTGCTCCACTCTTGTCCTGACTCACACCATCCGTCACAGCCTTTGTTATTGTGCCTTCACGCCACACCCTCGCTGTTCGGGTATAATTTCCCTGTACGGGACGAAAGTCGCCAGAAGCAGAAAAGCCACTCAGTGATCACTCCGTGTTTTTGGATTAAAGCTTCAACATGCTGCTGCTGGTCCTGTTGGCCGCATGTCTGGCCTCATGTGCTGCACAGACAAGTGAGTAAAACTGATGAATGGAAACGTCAGATGAGATCCTGGTTAATGTGTTGTGTGATGTTTTAACTGTTGTCTCCATGTTCCTCCAGCGCCCTTTCCCTCCTCTCCAACAGGTACATCGACCGCAACCCCGGCTCGCCTCACAGAGATAAATCCTGAAGCTATGGCCCTGATACCAACCGATGGTCAGTGCGTTTAATCACAGACTCATCTTGAAGTCCAACATGATTTTAATCATTTTTGATTTTTTTTTCTTTCTTTTGCTTGTCTTGTAGTTTTGGCAGTCTTAGAGACGACTGTTCTCTCCAGTCGGGAGCTGGATAACGTGACACTTGCTCAAGTTTTAAACCAGGTAACTCTCCAACCCTCCTGAGTTTCATATCTGTGAAGAGACTAAGATACAGCTGTGTGTGTGTGTGTGTGAGCGCCTGCATGTAACGAGTTCATGAAAATGTGTGTCTTCCAGATCAGTCAAACCATCCTGCAGATTCGGCCAGACGCCATCTTCTCTCTGGCTGTACAGAACGTCACCAGAGTCTGAGAGCTCACAAGTTTCTAAGACGGACTAAAAATCTGATCAAGTTTTATCTCTAAAGATGTACACAGTCGTGACTCGATAATCGACCCTTAACAATCCTAAACCTTGCTATCTGACAGGTTTTTAGGAAAAACAAACAGAACCCATAAAAACAGCCTTAACATAGCGACAGCCTTGGATTCTGACTCCAACATGACATTTAACACATGACAATCAGGATAACGGCGTATTATCTGACTGAACAATCCCACAGATTGGCTACGTTCACACTGCAGGACTTGATGCTCAATGAGGATTTCTTTGTGAGTTCCTTCACATTTCCAGTTCAATGCGACTTGTATGTGATCTGCTGTGTGAACTTCATACGACCCAAAAGTGTCCCGCATGCGCAGAAGAGGACACGACAACATCACACGCAGCGAGCGTGCTCAGTGTTTATGGAAGTAAACATGGATGGTAACGGTGGAGCGAATCTGCCACTTCCCCGCCGCCACCGACGGTGGAAACAGAAGTGTGAGCGCTAACTAAACTAGCATCAGCAGCCAAGTACTGCCTGTGTGTTCTGGACACTTCCACCCCGTCAGAGCGCTGCCCCGGGGTGGAAGTGGCCAGAATTTGCACACCGGTCAGTTAGGCTGAAATCCAGCGATGCATCGTGTTCGAACAATACAGTAGTTATTATAACAACTATGAACAATAAATATTAACAACTAATGAGCCTTCCAGCATCAAGCCCTCCTTGTATCTGGACCTCCGTCTTGACAATCCGACAGCCTTGCTATCTGACATGAAAGAAGGTTTTACATTTAGTGTCGGGTTATCGAGTCACGACTGTACTGATATAGTTCCTGCAAGATTTTTTCTTTAGTACCCAAAATAGTAAATTTAATCTTTTTTTCATGTCATTTTATTTTAATTATAGAGGGCATTCATATATTGTGCTTAATAAAGGACTAAGTATTTTAGGTGTAGTAGCCTACAGGGAATCATGTTTTCATTATAGAGATGTAGAAATGTGTGAAGCCGGTATCACATTTAGCACTTGAATTAATGCATATAAAAGCTTTAAACTGATTCAACATCTTATAGGTGCAACATGTGAGAGCTTGAATATGAATATAGCAACAAACAACTACAGTCAAATGTATTCACAGCCTGACATTAAAGAAGGAAAAATCATCTTCAGTCACTAAAATAAGTTGACAAAAGTAATAATAAATAAAAATGTAGTGAACATCATGACGTTGCTTTTGAATTGTGGTTTAACAGAAATATTTAAAAAAAACAAGCAAACCAGCATGATGGGACCCCGAAACTACTATTTAGATGAATAACCCTTTGAGCCAATCAGGTGTTTCCTGTAGCTCTCAGTCAGACGTCTGCACCTGTTGACAGGTATTTAGATTTCACTGCTCATCAGCAAAATGCTCTCATTGGTCCAGGACTGTTTTTTTAAAAAAAATTATTCTTTTCAACCACAATTCAAAAGCAACATCTTATTTCACTAAATTATTACTTAGCAAATGTTTATTTATTATTACTTTTTTCATTTTCTAGTTATTTCACTGACTGTTGTGGATTTTGCCTTTTCTTTAATGGAAGGGGATGAATACATGTGAGGACGGCTGTATAAGCTCTGAGCAGGACAATGAAGTCATACTATGTAACCTGTAACCTGAGCTGCTCTGTTCTCAGTAGCCGGTCCGGGCACATTGCTGCATGTTTGTAGGAGTTCCTCCCTTTGAAACTGCTGGACCTGCCCGAGTGTTACTAACAGGTTGAAATTGAACTCCACATTGTGAAAGTGTGACACAGTCTGGAGCCGCTGCCCTAGAAAACCGGATGCTGTTAGTGTAAGAGTGCTCTTTTTATTCCATCTTTGTGACGCTGTTTTGAGGTGTGTGCTCTGCTCCAGTCCGACCAGAACAGGACCATTTGTGGAAACAGACACACACTGAGCAGAGAGCAGGAGATGTGAAGTAAAGATGTTCCTGTTGACAATCTGTTACAACCGCTTACATGCTTTATTTTAATGTCAGCGTGGACTCACGGTTGTGGCCGGTTTAGTTTTTGTTGTCTTCTGAGTTCACAATTTTTCTGGTTGTAAATGAAACATGAGGAGAGGCGGGAGGTGCTGCTGGTGGTGGGACATCCTGTGGTTCTGAATTAAATGTTCTTGAAACACAAAAGCTTCATGACGTGTTCTGTAGTTGCTTCTAAAATAAAGCCAAAAACACACAAGTCATGTCTTCTTTAATGTACAAAATGTGGCACGTGATATTTATGAATGCAGATTCATGTATTAGCAAGGTGGCTCAGTGGTTAGCACCGTCGCCTCGCAGCTAGAAGGTCACCGGGTGTCCCGGTGAGGACACCCGGGATCTTTCTGTGTGGAGTCTCCATGTTCTCCCCGTGCAGTGTGGGTTCTCTCCGGGTTCTCCGGCTTCCTCCCACAGTTCAGAAACATGTTGAGGTTAATTGGTGATTGTAAATTGTCCGTAGGTGTGAATGTGAGTGTGCTTGGTTGTCTGTCTCTAAGTGTAGCCCTGTGATAGACTGGTTACCTGTCCAGGTGAACCTGCCTTCACCCTGAGTCAGCTGGGATAGACTCCAGCCCCCCATGTCCCTAGTGAGGATTAACACCTGGATGCTTCTTCTGAGTCCAGCTGTATCTGACTGATGTGTAACTTTCTCTTCGTCTCGTTCTGCTGCGGTCCGTGCTAATCCATGCCACGCTGTCCTCTTTCTCCACGTGACCCGTGTGCTTCTCTTTAAGCCCTCGGGGCGGTCCGAGCAGACACTCGGGAGACGTCTGCCCTCTGGACCACATCCTGGACTCTGAACCTCGCTGCTCAACATGGACCTGCGACTCCTGGTTGTAGCTGCAGCTCTGGGGGCGGCGCTGACCATCTCCCTGGCAGACCGGACCTCACAGTGCAAAATCAAATGGTACCGTAGATCTTTTACGAGCGTCTGTGTGTCATACTGATGGAGGATTTATGGAGGATTTGTGCTGGATTCACCTGAGTGTGACGTGTACAACAATGTGATTTGACTGACTAAATATCCAGTCGGTGTTCCTGCTGTCCAGAGCAGATTCATGCGACTGGTTGGACCCAGATCATGTTCTGTGGCGCTGTTTGGGTTGCATGAAACCCATCCGACAGTACAAAGGGGTCAAATGCATGTTATGAATTCAAAGTACTGTGCTGTGTGATTTCTCCTGCTTGTTATCGTCGATATGGTCAAACTCACAAGACTCACATCAGTCATGTCTGTGAGGAATGTGAGACAGAGTTTGAGAGGGTAATGAGATTTGTCTCACATTTTTAAGATTCTGCACGAGCTTCCATCTGAATACTAACGAAGCCAACACTTGCTGCTCTGCAGGTTGTTCGGCATCTCGTGCAGCGACGTCCAAGGAAAGCTGGTGAGCCAGGTCAAGGCCTGGCAGATCAGACAGAGCTGCCTGTACGAAGGAGAGAAGTGCTCGTACGAGGTCAGAAACACTCTTGTAGTTCACAAAAGTTTCATAAAATCGTGTTGTTTTTGCTTTAAGAATCCATATTGTCACCATCTTTGTAAATAAGAGTGTGAATGCAGCAGAACAGCGTTAGAAGCAGTCATGAACGTTTAGTTTAAAGACAATACGACGCTTTATTCATGTGCTTCTTTTAAATACTTGTCACTTTAACTTGTCTTTTGTGCATCCAGGATCATAAATGACCAACACACCTGAGATTATTGTCTTGTATTCAACAGTTTCTTAACTCATTAACTTAGGATGTTGGTTAATTCAAACTTGGTTGAATCCAATGCAAATGTGATCTAAACCTGCATTATTTCTACGAGCCAGCAGGGGGCAACGCAAGTACATGGACGTCGATGAGAAAATGAATCTACTTCTCACTTCATTTGTTGCCTCAGTAAACATCCTCCTGATGAGTTTATGGTCTCAATTATTGCTTCCACAGCTCCTCCAACACAACATGATTCAAGATTTTGTTTTTAATTTAACATTTGTGCACAAACAGACAGTCCAGGCATGTTGGAACTCTGGTTTCTTGTTTAACCCAACGTTTACATTTAGTATTTCTTTAGTCTTTCTTGAGGTGGAACGTCTTCATAATTTGGACTTGATTGTTCTCTTGAAAATCTTTTTTAAAAATGCAGTGAAACTAGAACTCTTCAGACTTCTTCTGGCCTCATGGTGCACGACTACTGTCGTCGCTTTAATTACTGATAGACTGCATCTGTCACACTTGGCTGAGTTTGAAATGTGCTGTCAGCTTGTGTCCTCAGTTCCTTACGTGATCAAAGCCACGCACACGTCTCCGAGCACCAAGAAACTGAGCGACCTTCAGTTTCTCCTGGAGCAGTCCACCGTCTGCAAAGTGACCGTAAGTAGGATTCAGAGGCTTTAGTTTAAATCAGCTTCGTTTTACATGTTACCTGCTTCAATTAAATACCAAGTGTAGGTCCTACACGATACAGACTCCCAACACATTGGACGACATTCTGCAGAAATGTGAATAAATTACACAAACATGAATTTTTAACTCACTGATGTTGTGACGCAGTGAGAAGAAATGTTAACCCAGTTAAAGGGGAGTTCAGAATCACTCACTGACCTTTGACCAACAGGGAGACGCTGTGTCCGAATTCGTCAAAGACCCGGCCGATAACAGCACCAACTTCTGCAGCCTGCAGAACCTGATGGACGGTAGATGCTCCCTCCACGATCACCACACGATGACAGTGTGTTGTTCTGTGAAGAGGCTTTAACCCTGAAACATCTGATCTCTCTGCAGGAAGCAAGCTGACTGAAGCTGAGGGCTACAAACAGTTCAGCAACAAGTGGATCTGTCCGGGTTTCGACACGGCCAACTGCAGCCTGTCGTAGGAGGAGACGCTCCCGGATCCAAACATGACGAATAACTAGAAGATCTTAGTGAAAGTTAGTTTTTAAAGGTGTATTTTCGGAGCTATTCTGTTCGCTGATCCCATTTTTAAACAGAATTTCTTTATAAAATAATGAAACTAAAGTGATGTTTTCTGTAGAATCTGTTAAAAACCAGAAAACGTTTCTTTTACGCGAACGCAATGGAATGCTGAAGATGAATAAACCTTTGTAGACATTAATGCACCGCGTCTAGATGTTTTGTTTTATTTTATTGCTGATGTGTTTTAAGTCAAAAAAGTAAACAGCATGATATGTGACGGGGCTGCAAGGTGGCTCAGTGGTTAGCATCGTTGCCTCACAGCTAGAAGGTTGCCTTGCCAGTTCACGGTGAGGACACCCGGGATCTTTCTGCGTGGAGTCTCCATGTTCTCCCCGTGCAGCGTGGGTTCTCTCCGGGTTCTCCGGCTTCCTCCCACAGTCCAGAAACATGCTGAGGTTAATTGGTGATTGTAAATTGTCCGTATGTGTGAATGTGAGTGTGCTTGGTTGTCTGTCTCTAAGTGTGGCCCTGTGATAGCCTGGTTACCTGTCCAGGTGAACCTGCCTTCACCCTGAGTCAGCTGGGATAGACTCCAGCCCCCCATGACCCTAGTGAGGATGAAGCGGTGTATAGATAATGGATAGATGATATGTGACCTCTACGTCGGGGACTATAGCCGCTGAACATTGGATGCCAGCTCAACCAGCTATGCTACCGTAGTGCCTACTTTGACCAATACATGTAAAAATAAAAACACCTTAAAATGCAGGTACGTTTAAATGACACGATGCCACAGATGACGAGAGGAAAACGAGCTGTTGGTCCGCTGGATGTCATTTAGAGCTGCAGCCAGGATCTTAAATGTCCACAGCGTCACCATTTCAGCCATCATCATCTCTACACCTTAATCCTCACTAGAGTCTGAACAGAGACCTAAAGACTGATTCACAAATAACACACAAACACAGTCTGATGCAAAAAAAACATTTGCAGTTTAATCAAAATACAAAATGATAAAGAAAGTGTCCATGACAAAGAAGGACAGCTCAGTTTCATGCCGGGTAGAGAGGGTTAGATATAAAAATATACCGTTTCATTAAAGAGGAGAAACAAAGCACACGTTGGTCAAAGAGGCCAAAAGTTAAACGTGAACATCCAGTGTGATTGGCTGAACGCTAACACGTGTAAAAAAAACACAACACAAGGACACGTTTTAAAAAGCATTGAGCTGGTAAAGTGCTTTGACTCAGAGTTGAATAAGAAAACTAGATTTTATCAATCATTTAAATCCAGAGTTTGTTTGGTTTCTAGTGAATAAGGGCAAAAGTCATTATTCAGTCCAACTTCCTCTGACTGCACCAGAAGTTCAGTTCTGCTGTTTTCCTCTAGATGGAGCAGCTGAGGTTGGTTTGTGTCGAGCTGGTCTGACAGCGATGAAGGATGAAGCTGTAGCCTGGTGAAGACGAATCAGGGAGTTTTCCACCAGGGAGCGTTTTGCTTCCAAAAACCAAACTTGCAGACAAACATCAGATAAACTGCAGCATCAGGACTGTGTCACCGTAAAGGTCGGCTGAATTAAAACGGTCAGAACGAACACACTCAGTGTGGAAACACAGCTTCAGGAAAATATAATGTGCAAAAACTTAAACAGCTTCTGCTTAAAATGGACAATTTTATGGTGTTTATATCTGCAGTTATTCACGTATGAATAAAAATATCCCTGGATGATGAACAACAGCGTCAGACGTGCTTCTGCAAACTTAACATGTTGTAAATAAATAACATGAAACACTCACACATAAACTGTGACCTGCAGCTACACGTGTTGTCAATAGTTTCATTCAAATCCTCATAGAAGATATTCCTCTGTAGAAAAGTGTGTTGGCGTCACAGGAGAAAGTCGCCTGTTTTTCTTTTTTTAACTTGACCTGGCACAAGTCATCCTCACAAATATTGTGAGCCTCGCCGCTCCGTCCACGCGAGGCCTTGTTCTCCAGGACCGAGGCCTCCGGTCGGACTCGTGAAGCCCGTCACTGCGTTTTACCGCCCGACGGCGTTTCCTCCTCGAAGTCGAACTCGGTCAGGCAGCAGTAGAGCAGTATCTGGGTGTATCTGGTGGCAAAGGCTGGAGGAGGAAGGAGGAAGGATGTGGGAGGGTTAAAAAAAAAAGATAGAGGAGAGATCAGTGATGATTCAACATGACTGTGTTTTGAAATTGATGTGAATCATGTGGTGCAGATATTTGGCAATAAACAGAAATCAAAATCTTCCTATAATCAGATCGGTCAGGTAGCGTTTGAATGAGGCCTAACAAACACTGGAGCAGATGATCAGGTCTTGAAATAAAACAAATTCATATGAAGGTTTGAACCTTACAGTTTAGTTTGCGTATGAATCGTGGCCTCCTGTCCTCAGGCAGGTAGATGGCGACGTAGTAAACCGGGATCCCAGAGAGCGCGATGCCGATGCCTATGAGGGAGTTGATGGTGTCTCCGTACAGCGGCACGATGACCAGGAACAGGCTGCACAGGCAGTAGACGAAGGGGAAGAACAGGGTGAGCTGTGGAGGCAAGAAGACACGAGTGGTCAGCGCCTGTATGAATGCTTCCATCCGGAGAGACGCTTTGAGCCACAAACTCTACAAACACAACGACTGAGGGTCATCGTTTAGCCTGAAAATATCATTTCTTTGTTAATTTAAAGTTGGAGTGGAAAAAAAAGATATTGATATTTAGTAGTGATGCATGATATTAACATTTCTGGCTGATATCTGATATTAAGATTTCTGATATCACCGATGTCGATATTTAATTTTTGTTCACACCAAAAAATTAGTATAAGTAAGCACTATGATAAAACTATTCAGAAGAAGCCCAGATTAAACCACACAGTCTTCTTTAGTACGTAACAAAAGTAAAACATATTTAAGTCCAGGACCATTTAAGTAAAAACATCTGTGAAATAGCAGCGATATCAAACGTAGAGACGAAGCCGCTGATGTCAGACAATCATCGGCTAAATGTGTTCATCAGACCGATACCGATATACGGGAAAAAACTCTGATATCAGTCGACACTGATGTGGTTGTTCATATATTGTGCATCCCAGATGCTGGCTGTGATGGTGGACCTTGAGGATGATGATGAGTGGGCCGTGGCTGATGAGCTGGAGGACGATGACTTTGACAGTAATGTTGTGGTTGGAGAGAGTTCTCTTGCCAGAATCGCCTGTGTTCTGGGAGGAAAGGGAGCAACATATCATGCAGATGCTGCAGAACCCTGACTGGAAGTACCGCCACGCTGGGCTCATGGCGCCGTCAGCCAAGAGATGATCAGCTTCATGCTCCTCTTCTGCTCCGAACCTCACCCCAGAGCACGCTATGCTGCCTGCAGTGCTATTGGACAGATGGCCACATGATTAGGTGATCTCATCCCTGCTTCAGACCACGGAGGACCAGAGTAACCCTCCAGTGCAGGCACATGCTGCTGCCGCTCTCATCAGCTTCACAGAGGACTGTCTCACATCAGATTCCCCTCCTTGTCCTGTGCACAAACGGGCCACACTGGGATAAAGTTGTGTGAATCAGTCGCTTTCTCTCCCGTGTACAGATCCAGGAGTGTGCATGAACGCTGCACTTTAATGTCAGCGTTCGAGAAAGGATTCAGACCCCTTGTTGACATAGAAGTACCAAAACAACGATGTAGAAATACTGTACATGGAAAAAAATGTAGTTAAAGAACTGAAGCCAAAGCCTGATGGACCGGTCTGTACATATATGAGGCCTGATGAGATGATTAATAGTGAAGCGTCGGTGTGTCAGTAGCCTGCTGCTGCTGCTGCTGCAGGTGGAGCCGCTCTGACCTACTTTCTGTACAATCTTATAAACAGACAAACCTGCAGGACTCTGACATGATTAATGAGGGAGGGAAGAAATAAAAAACACAAATCTGTTTTCAGTTTTTGTACTTTTTCTCTCATTTTTAAAGGAGACTTTGGATCATTTAACCCAAACCGTGTGAGACGTTTAAAGGAAAAACAACTCTTTACTGTTAACAACTCAGAGACACTGATTTTTGTAAGAAACCAAAATGGTTGAAAAAACACAGAATTCATCTATAAAAATGTGTTCTCTTGTAAAGCTTGTTATATTATTCATTGTCTACACGCTGACAAAGGTGGAGTAGAATCAAAAACTCCATCTTTAACACTAAAACCTGCTGTGTTGATCACTCTGGTCTCTTTTATTCATCCTACACGTCAGCATATTTTACACATCATATGGTTTAGTTTAAGCTGTGATATGCGAACATTTAGAATGTTAAATTTTTTTTATTTTTTTATTTTTTTTTAGCAAACTAAACATTTAATGGTTTTTTCTGTGGAGCACTGAGAGTGCCAAATTACAAAAATAAATCAAAAAAAGAACAGCAAAATAAAAGTGGAAACAAAAGAAGAAGAAGTAAAATAAAAAATAAATGATGTGGCAATATAAAGCAATATTATTCAAAAATGAATCCATAAAAAAGGCTAATAAATTTTTAAAAAAATGTTATAAATTGTATTTATTTATTTATTGTTTCATTTTTATTTTTTACATCTATTTTTTATTATTTATTGTTTTATTTTTTTTTATTTTTACATTTATTTTTTATTTTAAAAAATGTTTATTTTTATTTTTATTTTTGTATTTATTTTATTTAATTTTTTTATAATGTCGCTTTAAAAGCAAAGGAAACACGCGCACAACGACATTCCCACTGTGCTGGACGGCCGAGAATCTCCACACACACGTCCACATATAACCACTAAGCATCTCTATGACGGAAAACGAGTGCACCTTGACAGGCCGGTGTCTGTCCGGCTGAGTGATGCGCAGGTAGATGAGGCCGGCCACCGACAGACCCACGTAGAGCCAGTAGCTGAAGCTGAAGTAGTTGATGAGCTGAAACACGTCCTCCACGCACAGGAAGATCAGGCCCATCAAGCCCTGCAGCCACACAGGAGAGAATCGTTTAACCAGACGTTGGTTTTGGCACAAATCTGCTGTGTTTCAGGTTCCTTACGTTGAACAGCAGCGCCGGTATGGGCGTGTAGCGCTCCAGGTGGATCAGGCTCAGGCTGTCGGGGAGGTGGCCTTCTCTGGCTCCGACGAAGAACAGCCTGCATGGGCAGTAAAGTTACTGGGAAAGTATTCACAACACGAGCACAAAGCCAGCGCCCGGTCAGTGTTTTATTACCGAGAGGCAGCGATGATGGAAGCGTTGAGCCCTCCGTAGCAGGACATGGCCACCGACACTGGGATGATCCACTTGAACGGACCCAGCACTGCGTTTCCAAACGTCTGTGGGGTCACATTTGCAAAGACATGCTTTGAGCAGAGCCTCAGGCTGTGACACTGGCATCATGCACGTTGCTTTTGCATCAATCTCAGCAGTCTTGTTTCCATGTCACGTCTCGAGTCGACCCTTCCTAAGTGGAACAGGTCTATATTTAGCAGCAGAGTAAAGCATCTCTCTCAGGTGACCGCGTCTTACCACAGCAACGGCGTCGCTGGCCAGCAGAGACGGCATGTCTAGGACCACATAATACGCCACGTTGGTCAGCAGGTAGATGATGGTCACGATGGGCATGGAGACGGCGATGGCCAGGGGCAGGTTTCTATGACAACACAGAGCACACAGTCACTGAGAACAAACACAGGATAGAGGATCCATCGGGATTATTTCACTCAAGTCATAACTCCAGCCTCTATAGTCCATCTCCTGTTTGTTCAGATACAGATTGTACATGTGATAGTCACAGCTGAGGGAGTTTTTAAGCTTTTCTGTCAAATGTAAAAGTTTAAAAGTCAACAATCGTGTCAAACTACTTGAAGGGTTTTGATGACTTCAAGGGGATTCCATGATTCAAGGAACCTTATCTGTCATGCTAGCTCACATTCACACGTTTGTGGTATGAAATTAGTTCTCAGGACCCGTTTTGTTAAAAAGAAAAAACTCATAAATACTAAGTACAATAAAACGAGCGAAATATAAGTAAAAAACACAGCAACGTAAGTGCAGTAAGACAACAAATATACATAAACATTGGAGTAGAAAGGCAAAATTAGTTATGTTTAGCACTAAATGTTTGTGTATCAGTGGGGTAGATTGTAATATTGCACTTTGTTGGTTAAAAACTTGGAGGGGAAAAAAGATGCAAACACAAAACTGACCTTTAAAGTTACTCCAGTGTTTATTTTGAATCATATTTCTGTCCTCCTAATGAGCTGAAATTCAATATCGGCTCTCTTTTAGCTCCGTTTTTGGTCCCCACCACCTTCTGAGCCAAATTTCTGCCTCTGTCGTGACTAAACGTTAACCTGAGATCACTAGTTTACTGTTTGTGGTTGCCAAAAACAGAACTCCCGCCAAAAAGGAGCTCAAATCGCTCTGGTTTCTGTTTCTGTCGTCGTATATAAACAGCCATTTGATGCATTTTTTTGATAGTGTTCCTAGTATCAGCTTTAAATGAGGTGTAAGCCGATGTCTGGCAGAAATTGAGGAAATTTAGAAAAACTTTATGAGTCACTGTGACCGCCTGTGTCCAGTCGTCTCAGAGACATGTCAACCATTAAACCTGTCAGCACCACTGTCGGAAATGAGCTGTAAACAGATTTCCGATCAGCGAGTCAAGTCGAGGAAGCGCCATCGGGTCAAACGTCTGTCTGGATCACCTCTCTGGATTCTGAATCTCCTCCGTGACGAAGTTGAGCGTATCCCAGCCGGAGTAGGAGAAGAGAGCCGAGTAGAGGGCCAGAGCGATGGCTCCGGGATCCGTGGAGGAGCCTTCAAACGAGTTCTCAAAGCTCTTCGTTTGTCCTGCAACAGGAGAAGATGAAAGCGTTTGTTTCATCCTATTTACTCCCGGGAATTCTTTCTTTTACTTTCTTTCTTACCAGCAGACATTTTCAGGATTCCCACGACGATGATGAGGAAGAGCGACATGAGTTTGGCGTAAGTGAAGATGTCCTGGACCAGCGTGCCCCATTTCACGTAAGCACAGTTGATGAAGATGAGGACACCTGGACAGAGCAGAGGAGATAAACGAACCCTCCTTACAACTAACACAGCTTCTGCTTTCTCGTCAGGTTGCATTAGCGCAGAAGACGATGGGAAATCCCTGCAGCAGTAAATTCATTTTGTTTTGAGCTGAGTTTTGACAGCAAACAGAAACCTGAAGCTCACGTGAGCTACATTCAGTGTGAAAGTTCAGAAACAGAAACTCACTCCTTGGTTTTGCGGCTCATGACTCCTGCACCTAAATACCACTTCTGCTTGCTGCAGACTTCGCAGCACAAAGCCGGGCCATAAACCACATTTCACAGGAGTGACGGTCTAACTATAGCTGATGTCAGTCCCTCTAAAGGTTACTGAGTTTGAGGGAATGTGTCGCTTCATCGTTGGTTTAACGTCGTCCTGTATGGATCGCTCTCAAGTTTCTAAAACTCCAGAATAATAAAGAATTTGCGCACAGACAGTTTCATGACTGTCAAACTGAGAGGTGGGTTTTGTGTTTTCACCTGCAGTTACTTAGTAAAGCTGTGATGCTGATTTAGGAGAGCAAGCAGCCATCAGAAGGTAAAAATACAGACAGTTACAGTGGATTACATGCACAGCAAAAAAAAAAGAAAAGTCTGAAAATCTGGCAGCAAGCATGCCAGAAAAATAAGATGGAATACTGCAAGAACTGCAAAAATAAAATAACAACAACAACAAAACCCACTGTGCAAATAGAGCAAAGTCATATTAGTCATTATAAAAGGTCAAATAAATGTTTGTAAAAAAAATCTCTATATATATATTTTAATGTATGATTTTACTAGATATTACCTGTAATTTAACAACATTGGAAAAATCTGTAAAATGTCAATAAATTGTTCAAAAACTTACAATTAAAACTGGAAAAAATAGAGAAAAAAAAACACGTCTATATTTTAAAGTGCACATGCATCGCTCTCCTGTGCAAAGTTAGTCAACGCGACTCGATAGAGATGTAATTACTGGATGCAAATAAAATCAAAATAGAGAAGGTCTAATTTCATACGATTCTTCTGGATTATAACGTTTTTGTTTGGGTGTTTTTCATCCTGCAGCACAAAAAAAAAAACCCAAAAAAAGTTTTTCGAAGGGAAATCTAGCTGACCTCAAAACTAGAACCAGAGTGAAAAATGATAACACTACACTGTAAAAACTGGTTTTAATTTTCATTATTATTTTTTCTAAATAAGCAATTTACTGTTATTTGACAGATTTGCCCCCATTTTGTTAAATTAAAGAAAAAAAAATCTGGTAAAATCACTGAAAAAAATATTAATTTACTTATTAACACTATAAAAACTGGACAAAACTGTAAATAATGTCCACATCAAAATCTGTACTTTTACATATAGTATTCTATTACGTTTGACTGTATTTAGGTCTGCAAAAAATATAATTATTTTACAGATATTTGCAGATATTCGACAGAAAAAGCATGTTAGTGAGGTTAGAAAAACAGTACATCATGTC